CCAATGCACTCCCATTTCTTTCCCCCTGGTTTCTCCCCCCCCTCTCTTTTCCTCCCAACTCACTCTCTCTCTCTCTTTAGTTAACATCCACTGAGTCTTCTTAGTGCTGCTCATGTGTGTATGGTGTGGGACCATCAACTGGAGCATGAGTGGCCTCTCAGGGCCCAAGACTCTGAACAAAAGTGACTCTCCCTCTCCTAGTGGCCATCAACAACCAACAGCTCCTTAGGAGAGGGGCTCCATGAGCCACACCCCTATCTGTGCTAAGATGTTGGCTGCCTATATCTTGCACATGTCTGTAATCCCAGCACTCAGGAGCTGGAAGCCAGAGGGATCATCTTTGGCTACAGAGTAAGCTCAAGGGCCTCCTGGACATAAGGAAATGAGACCATGTCTGGAAAGGAGAATCTTTTATGTTCAGTGGTATCATTATTATTTTAAGATTTATTTATTTTATATATGTGTGTATACTGCTGCTGGCTTTCAGAACCACCAGAAGAGGACATCGGATCCCATTACAGATGGTTATGGGACACCATGTGGTTGCTGGGAATTGAACTTGAGACCTCTGGAAAACAGCCAGTGCTCTTAGCTGCTGAACCATCTCTGTAGGCCCTATTATTATTTTTTTAAATCACCAGCACCTCTTCTTGGTTCTTCTAATTCCCATCTTTTTCTTTTTTACCACACATCTGTTCTGACGTGTTGTCTCGTTCTTCTCGGTAGAGCTTTTAGAGAATTAAGGACACTTGTTTGAAGTCCCTAACTACAATCCTATCAGTGATGTCACATCAGTGGTGAGTCTGGAACTCCTCTGGTACAGACATCTCTCTTCAGTCTGTATCATCTGCCTTTTCATTGCCTCACGATGGTCTTGTTGTTGCCGACTGTCAAGAGCTCTGCGCTGGGTAAAGAACTGAAGTCAGTGGGTCTGGGGATGTGCTGGCAACACAGAGCCCTGAGATCAGCCATCAGTCTTGCCAAGTCTGCTGTCTGTGGTGCTCAGCAGTAAGCATCACAAGTTTTCCCTAGTGCCCCACCCGGTCTTAAGTAGAACAAGCTAACTGGAAGGGGCTGAAGTTGGATATGTCCCTTCTCCGGAGGTTGGTAGGGTTCTGTTACATCCCAACTAACCTAGGCTTTGAGTACATTTTTCTCAAAGGGAGGAGGCCTTCTTAGGAAGGCCTGATGGGGTCCAAAAATGGTTTAATTTCCTGTCCCTTGCCAAAAGTAGAAGGAAATTTGTATCCAGTACTTGCTTTGAAAAGCTGGAAGAGGCTCCCAGAAGGAACCTCAAAAAACTGTGAAATCACTAAAACTGTCCTCATTGGGGATTTTCATTCTCAAAATTGTCCAAAAGAGCTGCCAGTAGTTTGTTAGATGAGGGTAGGGTTTTCCTATCTGGTATCAGTTTTTGTGGAGGGTCAGCTACTAATTAGGTTTGGGAGGCAGAACCAACAGAAGCAATTGTTTTGCTGATGGGGTGTGTGTGTGTGAAAATAGGAACCTCTATACTAGGGTTCCAAGTCTCTCCTCCTCCTGGCCTTCTGACCCCCTGTAATTGCCTTCCCATGGGTGTGGACTGGATTGAACCAATAATGAAGAGGCAAGGCAGTGGGAGGAGCCATATCTGAGATGAGCATGAAAAAATCTGCACAGTTTTCATCTTGCTGGGAGGGTCTGTCCACTTTGTCTTGTGACCTGACTGGACAAAAAAGTGAAGCCCCATGGCAGGGTCCTGAGAGAGATCTTTGGTGACCAGCCAGTCAAGAACAGTGGTCCTCAGTCCAGTGAACCAAAAGAAACTGGATCCTTCCATTCGCCATACAAATGATACTCCCCAAGCTGAGTCTTGTCTTTGAACAACACACCTGTCTTAGTTAGGGTTTTACTGCTGTGAACAGATACCATGACCAAGGCAAGTCTTATAAAAGACAACATATATTTGCCTTACACGTTCAGAGGTTCAGTCCATTATCATCGAGACAGGAACATGGCAACATCCAAGCAAACATCGTGCAGGCAGAGCTGAGAGTTCTACATCTTCATCTGAAGGTTACTAGTGGAAGACTGACTTCCAGGCAGCTAGGGTGAGGGTCTTAAAGCCCACACCCACTCCAAGGCCACACTTACTCCAACAGGGCCACATTTTCTAATATTGCCAGTCCCTGGGCCAAGCATATACAAACCATTACAACACCTTACCGAAACAATTTCATTCCCAACAAGCAGAAACTATGATATGCATTGTAGCTGGGGTAGTGGCCCATGCCTTTAATACTAGTACTCGGTAGGCCAGAGTGGAAGGATCTCTGTGAATTTAAGGACAACTTGGTCTACATAGTAAGTTCCAAGCCAGCTGGAGTAACAGGATAAGTTCTTGTCTCAAAAACAAAACAAAACAAACAAACAAACATCCAGCCCTGCATTGTTTTACCTCCTTCTATTTTGGAGACACTCCTTATGAGGCTAGAGATAACTCATCTAGAAAGATGAGTTAATGGAAAGAGAATGAGTCTAATTTCTGGCAGGAGTAACTGGTAGCTAGAGAGGGCAATATTCCAGAGGGAAAAATAGATTTAGGAGGTCAAGAGAGGAACAAATAACCATTTGCTCTGCCATCAGGGACTCCAATCCTCTGAAACTATAAGCCCAATTAAATGTTTTCTGTCGCTACCCACTCCGACTCGTTTATTCAGGAACCCTGTCTTCTTCCCCAGTGGCCCCTGAGCCTCTCTTCTCCTCCCTTAAATCTCCTGCTTGCACCACTCAGATTCTGCCACGAATGCGTTCTCAATTGGCTCGGTGCAGCGCTCGTTAGATGGTCTGCGCAGTGCTAACTGCATACGGGGCTTTCCAAGGGTGTATGAGGAAGTCAGGCGCCATTTTGGACTGGCCGCCGCACCCGCTCCTCACATTTTCTTTTATAAATTGTCTTAGTCGTAAGGTTTCAGAGGGCTGGAGTCCACGTTAAAAACACAGTAGAGGGCTTTCCCCTTCTTGTAAGAGTGTTTGTCTACTGTTTTAATCTCAGCATTGGGGATGGAGACAGGGAAGTTGGTCCCTGGAGCTTGCTGCCTAGCCAGCCTCGCTGTAAGGCCTATGAGAGATCCTGCCTCCCCAAACAAAGGCCGGCAGTGCTTAAAGAACCATATCCCAAGTGTCTTCTGGCATCCACAGGCACACTCATACACACATGTGTACCTGTACACACATATGCAACTGCAAACATGCGTGCACCCCCCCACATGAACACATGCACGTAAACATATCCATCAGAAAATGTCTGCCAAACCACATCCCTAGGTTTGACGGAGTCATTCTGTTCCAGGCTCTGCCTTCCTGTTTAAAACACTAACCCTGACAACACTGATGCATTACTTTGACCTAACTTGCCTTACAAGGTCTTCACTGCATGCATTCTGCTTATGGAAGTTGGAAGGTGCTGAGGCAAACTCGGTGGAGCATTGCTCACTGGGCCATCTTCCAAAATAACAGCATCTCTGAATCTAAAGGCCCAAATGCCAGGTCTTAGCTGGAATATCTATGTTGGGCCTTGGCCCAGGGCCATGTTTTACTCTGCCAAGTGTTCTGATCATCACTGTGGTGTCAGCGACATGCCAGAAAACCTGCTAATTACTGTGACCACCCAGAGAATCCATCCAAAGTCTAGACACTTCCCAGTGGGATCTATGACACCTAGGCTCCTCAGGAACCCATGGAGGACCACTGAATTACTTCCTTTTTTCTCATGTTTGCCACTTAGATTTCCAGCAGCACCCCTGCTTTCTCTTAGATGCTTGCTTGGTAAGAGTGTGTCCCATTTATTAGATAACCTTACTGCTAGAACTTTAAGTACAATAGGTTCCCAAATGATTTATAATCAGATGCTAACAGAATGATTTATAATGTAATTAAATTTTAGATGAGTTATAAGACAACATGCAGTCTTCTAGAAGCCCAGGAACAATGTGGTCACGGGTGGATATTTTTTCAACAGATGTCCCACAGAGAGAGTTAATAGAACTCCTGTCGGTTCATGCAGAGTAGAAAAGAATGTCCTGTTTCAGATTTTGACTGAGATATTGTATGAAAATAGCTGGGCAGTTCCGACCTGAATCTGGTGATTGCCAATGATAGCAGCTCTGAAGAGTCCGTTCTCAACACTGGACTGTGACGTTATCACTCGATCTCAACTCTATGCCAGAAGGAAAACAAAGTGTGCATGGGTGTATGCATGATAAACGGTTTTGGTATAGTCATTAGCACAATGTCTACCGGGTCCCCACTTTGAGCCCCACATTGTGCCGTTCTTTTTGAAAGGATTATTTAACTTAATGTTCATAGACGCCTTAGTATTCCCATTTTTGCAAGCTTGGAAAAGGTCTGTGCTTTTCTCAGGTTCATGAAGCCAGTGAGTGTCAGATTTCAGATTTAAACCTTGCAATCCGTTCTACCATTATGGTAGAGTACATGGATCTAGATGATCTGTATCCGCCATTGGTACTAAAAGTTCTGCCCTGGGTCAAGAGGGACTGGGTGGGCGCCCAAGCCTGTGGGATAGATGGATGAAACTAATAATTGGAATACACGTGGAATAAACAAACGCAGTACGGAATTGAGTGGAGTGGAGTGGATGGGTGAGTAGGCACAATGGGCTAGTCGGTGGGACAGCAAGTGAGTGGGTGGGAGAGTAAGTCTTCAGTGGATGAATGCATGCTTGAGTTGGAGAGACAGTCTGAGGATTAATGGGTGGACTGGAGAGTTAACCTGAGTGAGTGGGCGAGTGTGAGTACTCGAGTGGACGAATTGAAGATGTGGTGAGCCTGCTCTACCTGAGCTCTGTGGATCTGGGTGCCGGTGGTGGGCTGCAGGGCCGCTACTCTACACAGTACGGTAAGGAGGGCTGCTCCACCCGAGTCAGCTCGCGCCTCCTCCCAGTCCTCCCCCTGTTTCACTTCTCCTCCCCCTCCTCCTCTTCCCAGTCCACCTCCGCCGCCGCCAGCTTCGACCCCAGTCCTGGGCGAGCCGGCCTGGACGCTGCGTCGCCGCGGGCAGCGATGCGCAGAGGGTCCGCGTCGCCCCGGGGCCGCCGTGCGGCACCATGAAGCTCCGCAGCAAGGCGGCAGCGCTGCTCCTGCTCGCGCTGGCCGTGCTGCTGCTGGCGCTGCTGTCCTTGCGCTCCCGCCGGGACCCGGAGCCCCCTGGGTTCCCCGCGCGACCCGAGGCTGCCCCTCAGCGCCGCCACGCGCCGGTCCCCACGCTGCCACCGGAGCCCCGCGCCTTCCCCGGAGCCTCTGGCCGGCGCTCCCCCAGGCGTCGGCCCCCGCGTCTGCGCCCCCGAGCGGACCGCCCGCGCGCCGCCAGCCAGGAGAAGTTGGCGAGGTGAGTCGTGGCAGCCTGGATCCCTCCCATTTGAGGACCTGAGTCTCGCCTACAGCGCCGGTGCCAAGTTCAAGGGCGACTTGGGGCTGGATAGATAGATGGAAAGACAGATTCCAAGTTTCACCCACTCTCTACCTCTTCCCACTCTGCCAAACACGCAGACCACCCTGGTGACACCCATGCACCTCCTCGAAGAAGTGTCAGGGAAAAATGATTTGTAATTAGGGGTCGCAAGTGTCAGGGTGAAACGTGTGGTTGTGTTCTTGCTAACATGTGCTCTTTGTTTAATTTTTCAAAAGCCATCGCCAGGCAACTTGAGCTCATTCTCTTGTTTCACGGGAGAATTCAGAGTGAAAACCTAGATCTTGATGGAGTTGGAGAAATTAAATGCTGAGCCAAGACTGGCTTGCGTTCGGTGCAAGCTCGGGTATCCGGGTGATGCCTGCGGGCGTCTGGCTCTAGTTGATTAGAAAGAAGTTTGCTTCTTGGAAGGAGGAGTGCGTGGCACGGGAGAGGCAGACTTTGGGTTTCCTGGTTTCTGTATGTTGAAGTGGCAGGGCCGCCAAAGGCTCCCTCTGGGAAAGCTTCTTAACCTTCGACCCTGCCCTCTCCCCTCACGAGGCGGTCCACGCGGCTACCTTTCATCGCAGTGTTTTATCTTTGGTCGAGTTGTTACCAGATGTCCGCAGGTTAAGGATTCTCTTTTGTTCTGGAGGAGTTTTGAACACTCCCCCGGGCTCTGTTTCCTCTGCTCCTTCTAACTGCTTTGCAACGACCACATTTTCTGGGCTCCCAGATTACTTGAAACAAGTTGAATTCTTTTTGACCATAATGACGAAGTCTGGGCGCTTTTTTTTTTTAAGCTGTAGTTAAGAGAAACACGAAACCTTAAGAATTAGCTGGATCAGCTTTTCTCTCTCCCCTTGTAATAAATGCAGAGATGGATATGTTGGGAGAGAAAATACCCCAGAAATCTAAGTCTTATTTTTTTTTTAAATTCATTGATTGTTCATTTTGTGTGTGTATGCTGAGGGAGGCATGTGTGGAGATCAGAACTCGGTTTTCTCCTTCATCTGGTATGTATCCGGGAAAGGGTATCAGGTCCTCAGGCTTGGCAGAGGCATCTTTACCCACTGACACATCTTGCTTCCCCCAGTTTAAGACTTTGAAGTTATTAGAACTCTTGAAAGTTCTGAGTATGCACTTTTGAAAAGCAGGCTATTTCTGTTGTAAAATTAGTATAGGAGGGGTTTCCCCCCTTCAGTTTGTTGAGGTTCTTATTTACAGTAGATTATTTCCGAGTAAAAGTACAAGCTCATTATGATGCTTAAGATAGTAAGAGCTGGCATCATTTAACACAAACAATGCCAACTGCACCATGAAAAAATAGATATTAATAAACACACACACACACACACACACACACACTGCAATCCATCCACACAGTAACTCTTTGATAGTGGTCCACGTAGTTCCCTATTCAAATGTAGATTCTCAGGTCCTACGGAATCTTAGAGTCGATCTATGTGGTCGTCTCTCTCCTTTGCACTTTGTATGTGCCTAGGTGTTTGTGTGTGTGAACTCCAGAGGTTGAGATCCAGTGTCTTCCTCAGTTCTCTCCACCTTATTTTTTTTTTTGAGACATGGTCTCTCACTGAACATAGAGCTTGCAGATTTGGTTGCCAGCAAACCCCAGGCTGCCAGCAAATCCTCCAGTCTCCACCTCCCCAGAGCTACAATTGCAGAACTTGCTTGGGGAACTGAACTCAGGTCTTCCTCCTTGGGCCTGCCTGCTCTTTATCAATGGAGCGATCTCCTCATCCCTAAGCTTTACTTTGAGGACACATTGGCATGGTAGAGCTGCCCCACCATTAGTATTAGCTAAGGTATACAGACTGTGGATCAGAAGAACAGTTTGTGCAGGGCTCACAGGTAAGAGCCAGATGAGGCTAAAGACACCCAGGCAGCCTGGGACTGGACAGAACCTTCTGAGCTGCTGTCAGGCAACAGTCTTGCGTGCAATTCATCACCGCACTGAGGTTTTTTTCTAAAGAAGCATCACGGATTCTCGACTGTGTCTCATTCTTCAAGGTGTTGGGAACACTGGGCAGCATCTTCTTGTCTCGATCTGAACAAATTGGCTCTGACTTGCAGGAGATCATGAATAGAATCCCAATGGGTGCTATAGAGAAAGTATATTGCCGCAGGCAACAAGATCCTGGAAGCCATTTTTCTTTTGAACATATCTCTTAGATGATCATGGAAATGATATCCAACGCCACAGGAATAAAGAACTACTTCACAAACTATAGAAGGACTGAAAAAAAAAACCTGCCAGTGGGCATCTCAGACTCAAATACATAAACAGTTGACATTTTCTGGGATTTTCTTTTTCTTTCTTCCTTCTGCTACCTCCATAGCAAGGGTAACTCAAGGTTTTAAATGAAAAGGAAGCAGGAGGGGGCAGATCCCCACCGACTCTTTGATTGCTTTTCAAATTCTGCCTGGGTGAAATTTTTGTGGTTGAGAAGGAATTTCATGTAGGGAGGAAGAGAAAGCCTCGTGGCTTAATCTTTTTACGTGGCCTGAATCCAGAAGAGATGAGAGTCTGCCTGATCTCATTCCTCCTCCACGATGAAGGTCAGATTTGTGGCTGTGGTTGGCAGGAAGCTTGAGGGTGGATGGGACCCAGCCGGCCACCTGCCGGCCACACAGAGCCCAGGCCGGCCTCCTGAGGGCCCTGCTCTAAGGGAACGAAGTTCTGCCACGTCAGTGTGGAGAACGAAGCCTTCTTCCACATCTTGTTTTCATTTTCAGCAAATTTTCCATGGGCTTGCCTGGTTAGCAGGCAGACCCTACAATTTTGGAACTAGCCATTTGTATGCAATCTGTCCTGGGGTGGCTTCCTTCTATATAAACATGAAGCGCTCTGGAGTAAGGGCTGGGCCTTCCAGTCATGAGTGCGAACTCAAAATGGTAATCATCCTGGAAGTAGCCATCACTGGAGAGCCCAAGAGAAACAGAATTCTCCTTCTGTTTTGGTTTAGTGAGTATTTATACCTGGCTGGCTTCAAAAACGAATTTGAGGTGACTATAGTAAAAAAAAAATACATATGCAATGAAATCATTAAAATAATTGTAGAAAAAGGCCATGGGGGGAGTAGTAAGCACTGTTTGGTAAAACTGAGACCACTATTACTGAAAGACTAAGTGCTAAATTTAGCTCTGAGCTTCCTGGCAGCCTTATAAAAAAGGGAACATGGTGAGCTGCCCAATCTTCAGTAAATGATAAGAGAAGTTTACAAAGAGATTTTTTATTTTTTTGGAAAAACAAAAGAAGCTAAATTTTAAAGTAAGAGTTTTACTTGGGAATGAAGAGATTTCAGACTTTAAAAGATTGCATTTCCATTTTGCTTCAGAAAACTCTGTAAGCCTACATGTGGAAAGAGAAGTTTAATGTAACTGGGGATCAGCAATATAAATAGGGTCGAAGGACGGCTCTGTTAGTGAAGTGGTTGGTGTGAGGGTGTGAGCACCTGAGCTTGGATCCCCAGAACTCAGATACAGCTGGATGCAGTGACATCTGTACCCCCAGCCTTCCTATGTTGAGATGGGAGGCTTAGAAAGGAGACACACCCAGAATCATAAGGGCTGCCTAGCCTGGCATGTATGCATGTCTTAGACTTTTTGGAAGGCAAGGACAGACTCCTAAGGGTGTCCTTCAGGAAGCACGCAATGCAGTGTAGTACACACACTTGCACTCTTACACACAAACACACATATGCACACACAAATACTAAGAAGGGAAAAGAAGAGTTCAGAAGAAGGTTCTGATCCTAAACCGTTTTTGTCTCCTTTCCTTCATTTATAAAACTGAGCAGATTTATCCCAAGGTTCCTGAGATCTCATCCAGCTCTGACATGATGATCGGGTCAGCTTCATCTGCAAGATTGCAACCATGACCGACACTTGCGAGATGAGCTCCTCATTCCCCGGCACTATCCCACCTTACTGATTGCTCAGACTCAGACCCCCTCCTGAACTCTATTCTTTCTTTTTTTGAGCTAGCCTGTTTCCTCTTAAAATACAGCTTCTTTCAGGAAAAAAAAATGCTACGTGTATTTACTTTATGAGTATACGTATGCGAGCTTGTGACGTGGTGCATATGTGTTCAGATGACAACTTGCAGGAGCTGGTTCTTTTCTTCTACCATGTCGGTTCTGAGATTGAACTCAAGCTGTCAGGTTTAGCAGCAAGTTCCTTCCCTGTGGAATCATCTAGCCAGCCCCTAAACCGTGGTTTCTGAGAAAGAGTTCAGCTCCCTCCTAGTCCAGTCCCATGGTCCGTCTCTGTCAGTACACTCCACAGTTGTTGGGCAAATGTTTCTGGCACATAGACTGCCAAGCATTTGCTGTGCGGTGGAGGATGGAGTCTCCGCCCTCCTGGGATTTGCAAGGAGGCGGAGACAATAGAGAAGCTGGCTGCACTTGGCTGCCTCCCCAGCCACCCCAGAGAGAGGAAATGCTTCCTTGCTCATCACCGGTTTCCTGCGGTTCCCCTTTGATCTAGGAGAGGAGTCTCATCAGAGGGTTCATGCCTGAACAAAGGTCTCAATAAACAGGGATGACGTCAGGTAGCAGAATCTATCTGTGGCCCTCTTGGAGTTAGATGGGGGCCTTAGAGGACAGTCAAGATTTCAAGGTCTTGAGCAATATCTATGACGCTATGTAGCTTGAGTCTTGATGCTCTTCACAGATCAGTTTTTAATTGTGTGTGTGTGTGTGTGTGTGTGTAAGTTTGTGTAAGAGAGAGAGAGAGTGGAGGGGAGCGAGAGAGAGCGCATTCATGTGCAGGTGCCCATGTGGTAGGTTGGACAGTTTACCAGACACAGCTCTTTCCTTTCACCATGTAGGTCTCAGGAATTGACCTCAGTTTGTGAGGCTTGGTGGCAGGCACCTTTACTTGCTGATGCATCTTGTCGACCACAGAGCTCAGTTTTG